TATACACGCACACACACACACATATATATATATATATATATATACAAGGTATATATATATCTGTAGATTTCGATATGTTTATCTAAAGACTTGTATATATATATATATGTATGTATTTCTATATATTTGTACATATTTATGTATATTGATATGGATTAAAGATCGTGGCTCCTTGTATTGTCTAGTTTACAGCGGATATCATGTTATATATAGGGCCTCTTTGCGTACAGTATCGTCGCATTCGAACAGTCGAATATCCGTAACCCTGGAGGTATGTACATATACTCGCTCGAATATTATTCGAGTATACTTGAATGTACATATACTCGCTCATATATTATTCGAGTATACTGTCTTGGACTATTGTAGGTATACAACCAGCTGTAAAGAATATACTTGTTAGTCAATCAAAAAGCACTCTAGTATAATCTCACCATCTGATCACCATACAATTCTGTGGCACCTCATCACATCAATGACGAATCTCCGTGTTCGCAGGTCCACCGCTCGACCTACCTCAGGACATAACGCCAAAGCTTCTAGAGGCTCTGTTGAATCAGTTGTTAGAAGCCGAAGAACCCGACCGAGAAAGAAACCCGTACACATTCTACATCAATGATCAGGAGTTGGTGACAGATGTGGGGACGCATATCGAGAAGCACATGGAGGATAACGGGTATGTTAACGGTTTGGATATGCGAGCTCAGCTTGTTGGAAACCACATCTAACTCTATTTGTGGGCAGTGTATTGTTTTCTTGCATCTGTAAACCGCTGAGGTACAGTGGTTTTGGTTTACGGATTCGGGTGAGGGTCATGAAATAGATGTACAGATAAATAGCTCCATGCGATGGAAAGCGACCACGTACCAACACCAATACATAAAATATGTCATCCAACCCATTATCGTGTCACCTAGAATTGGGTTTTAGATACAACGGTCGAATCACTGGTGTCACGTATGTATAGGTTTGCTGAATGTATCTTCGACACCCCCACAGACACGTCCTGTCAAAGTACGATGCGACTTACGTATACTATGGGGCGAGTACTACTATCCCACTACAAAATCAGGTAGATGTAGTTATGTATATTATACTGCCCAGACACAGCACAACGTCCGCGTAGAAAGCAATTCCCCTTGACTTTATAGTTTCACCGGGTATGCTACCCAAGCAGCAGATCGCCATACAAACACTCTTTATTATGACCTGACTCTGTCAATGTACGATGCGACTTACGTATACTATGGGGCGAGTACTACTATCCCACTAACAAAATCAGGTAGATATAGTTACGTATATTATACTGCCCAGACACAGCACAACGTCCGCGTAGAAAGCAATTCCCCTCGACTTTATAGTTTCACCGGGTACGCTACCCAAGCCGCAGATCGCCATACAAACACTCTTTATAATGACCCGACTCACTCACTCTTTACAATGACCTGACTCTCTCGTCCGAATACAGCGAACAGATCATCGACATCACCTATCGTCCACAGGCCGTGTTTAAGGTACGGGCTGTGACGCGGTGTGCCGCCACTATCCCTGGACACGCAGAGGCTGTGCTGCAGGTGCAGTTCTCACCCGATGGCAAGCGATTGGTGAGTGGCAGCGGAGACACCACAGTGCGCTTCTGGGATATAGGAACGAATACACCGCAGTATACATGCAAGGTACGTAGCGGTTTTATGCATGCAAGGTAGCTGGTGGGTTTATGCATGCAAGGTAGTTGGTGGGTTTATGTATGCAAGGTAGCTGGTGGGTTTATGCATGCAAGGTAGCTGGTGGGTTTATGCATGCAAGGTAGTTAGTAGGTTGTGCTTATGTGTATTGTACTGGTTTACGGACGTGTGGGTGTCACAGGTGCAGGCTACATTTAACGTGACAACATATGGTGGGTGGTAGTGAAGAACAACAATTCACGTCTGCATAGTAGGAACCATCGTACATGTCATTGTGGCAACATGAGAGCGGGTGCGTGTCTGTGAGGGTTGGTGTGTGTAAGGCTTTGGGCTCATGCCTTTTATAGGAAAATGTATCCCTTGGCTAACCGGTGTGGTTTGATGCTGCCAACTGTAGCTTCATCAATTGTGGATTTGTTGACTCATTTCGTTTTTTCTTCGGTTCGGATTACTGGTGGACGTTTAAACGTCTCTACGCGTGGTGTACCTCAGGCACAGAACCGCCACAATGCGTATTTGACTTTAAAAGAGGGCGTGTGTGTACAGTGCTGGCTGCAGTGATTCGTACGTATATAAGCATTCAACGCTTTCATATCCATTCACGGATGATTATTTCAAGAGAGTGCTTGTGTGTACAGTGCTGGCTGTATTGATACGTATGTATATAAGCATTTAACACTTTCATATCCGTTCACGGATGACTATTCTAAGAGGGTGCTTGTGTGTACAGTGCTGGCTGCATTGATTCGTATGTATATAAGCATTTATCGCTTTCATATCCATTCACGTGAGACCATACCCATGGTTGCTAAGCAACCCCATGTATCCCGAGCTAAATGTCCAACCATCACCATGCACGTTGCTACGTACAGGGACATAAAAAGTGGGTGCTCTGTGTGGCGTGGTCACCGGATGGGACCCGTGTGATGTCCGGCGATAACGACGGGAAAGTCATACTGTGGGATGCTGCCACCGGCAAGCGACTGGGCGAGAACGGTAGGTTATAAGGATATGTGCTCGTCTGTTGCCAGTGAAGTTATAAGTGTGTGTTAGTTTGATGCCAGTGAAGTCATAAGTATGTGTTAGTATGATGCCAGTGAAGTTGTAAGTATGTGCTTGTATGATGCCAGTGAAGTTGTAAGTGTGTGCTCGTATGATGCCAGTGAAGTTGTAAGTATGTGCTCGTATGATGCCAGTGAAGTTATAAGTATGTGTTAGTATGAAGTATGTATTAGTATGATGCCAGTGAAGTTATATGTGTGTGTTAGTATGATGCCAGGGAAGTTATAAGTATAGGCAAGCGACTGGGCGAGAATGGTGTATCTTCCGTGGGTGTGTGGCTAG